TCCTTACGTGTAAATGACTCCTGAGAAACTCCTTCCGGGTACTCCTGCCCGAGTGCGTTCGCTGTTTTGATCTTCTTCTTTGGAGTCGCATCGACATCACTCAATTTTGATTGAGCATCCAAAACCTTATCACGTTGCTTCAAGGCATTGTTCTCTTTCTGCTTGTTTACCGATTTATTCACCGACTCAAAAGATGCAACACTCTTATCATGTTTTTGACGTGCTTCTTCTTGTTTATCCGAACGTCCCAACTCCACATTTTCTACAAAGCCTCTTGCATTCAAGCGTTCTTCTTCATCACTCATTTCTGCCTGACTGTGATTAGAAATCGCCTTTTTCTGCATTCCTTCTACATAAGCTACCTTATCAGAATGTGCATCTTTCGCCTTCTCATCAATGTTCTTACGCTGACGCTCTTCCCCTTCCAAAAGGGCTCTATTCTGAAGATACTTTTCCTTCTCGCGGCTATAAGCTTCACTCTGCGCATCACTGTGACTTACCTTAATCTGATGAAGCTTTTCATTAGACTCACGTTGTTCATCCGTGAAATCCTGCTGCTCTGCAATCATTTTTAGCTTCACCTCTTTAATCTGCCCTTCCACGTCAGTTCGGTGCTCGGACTCTACCGTTTCTCTGAAGGCCGTCATATCATTAACGTTGGCTCTTACCACCTTCATCTCTTCGTGATTGTCGTCCGTTGCCTTTTTCCCTTCAACAAATTTCGATTCGTACTTACTATATACTTTATCGATTCCTTCCTTCTGTTTCAGGTTTTGCTGATAATTCTTACCATCCAGTTCTCCGTAGACATCCGATGCGTACTTAACAGATTTTCCAACCTCACGACCTGCAAGTTCTCTTTGTTCATAATCACTAGCTCGCTCATCTGCGATGTCAACAGAAATATCATGCAATACTTGATCTGTTTGAAGACTTAAATCTTTGTAACGACCAGATCGTTCAACCAATGCTTTTGCCTGAGCAGAATTGTAGTGCTCTACAACTGCTGCGTTATCCATGTATACATCATGGTTTTCCATATAGTCAAGCGCAACCTCCTCTTGGATCTGATCCAACGTTGCCTGTGAAGATAAGTTTTCAGCTTTTTCAAAAGTTTGATTCTGTCGCTCTACCTTTTGACGTTCCAATTCCGCTGCGCGAAGTGCTTCAATAGTAGCTAAACGACTTTCGTCAGAATCAATATTCTCTTGTCTGATCGTTTGCTGGAGTGCATAAATATCGTTAATCACTTCGCGGCGATCTGCTGATTTTTTCGCTTCTAATTCAGCTGCAGCAACTCCCACCTTGTCCAATTCCGATTTTATTTGAATTCCTTTCTCCAGTCTACGCTTGTTTTCCGCTTGTTTTAAAAGGAATCCTCCATCAATAATAGATCCATCATACGGGTCCCCAAGATCCTCAAGTTGTACAGATTCTTCCACTACCGGATTCAAAATCGCCTCGATTTCCGCCAATTTTTCCTTTGGATATGGATCATTGCTTCTGAATTTCACCGCTCGAGTATAGAGTTCTTTCGCCTTTTCAAATGATTCCTTGTCAAAGTTCTTATCGGCCACTTTCAATAACTTACGATACTCTCTATCTTCACTCGTAATCGATTCTTTACGTGCTAAACGAATCGCCTCATCTCGCTGCGATAATGCGTAAGAATCATTCGGGAAAAGTTTCAGCGCCTCTTCGTACTTATCTTTTGCACTAGGAACGTATTTCTTCTGAGCAAATAACTCATCAGCCTCTTT